GTGGTTTTGATTTGCATTTCTCTAATGATGAGTAAGGCTGAGCACTTTTTCATGTGTCTGTTGGCCGCCCGTATATCTTCTTTTGAGAAGTGTCTATTCAACCCTACCTATCACCATACTCACAAATTAACTCTAAATGGATCAAAGACCTAAACGTAAAACCTCAAACTGTAAGAACCTTAGAAAATGCAGGAAACAGTCTTATGGAAGTTGGAACTGGCAACCGATTCCTGACCAAAACCCAAAGTGCCCAGGCCATAAGAGATAAGGACCTCATTAAACCAACAAGCTTCTGCAAAGCCAAAGAAACCATCAAGAGAGCAGGGAGACAGCCCACAGAATGGGAAAAAATATTTTCAGACTGTATATCTGACAAAGGCCTAACATCTAGGATCTACAAGGAACTCAAACGTGCCGAAAGGAAAAAAATAAACAGCCCCTTTAAAAACTGGGCAAAAGTTATTGGTTCTTAAGGCCAGCCCTGCTCTGGTGAAACTTCTCTGCTGATGGAGTAAGGGGTGCAGAGGCTGAAGGAGGGAGCATTTCCAGGCAAGAAGGCTGCAGAGTCCTCTGTTTCTTACTTTAAAGTTCCAGCAGAGTATCATAAGTTAAACACCTCTCAAATATTGTATTTGCTCTGGGTTGATTTCCAGAGCCCAGAAATGGTTTGTCTTTGACGATTTTATTCAGTTTTATACTTATTTTCTGGGAGAAGATTTTCTGACCTCTTCATTCTGCCACAGCTTGAAGTCTATGCCTATTGTTATTAATTTATGAAACTCCGCTTAAAAGATTACAAAAGTATGTCTTATTGTAATTTCTACTTTAAGCTGATCAGCATACCATAGCTTATTCTTTTAAGCTAAAGGCGTTTTACTAAAACAATATAATTTTATTTTAAAATTCAGTTTAAATGTAAACATTTGATTTTTAAAGACAATAATTCACTTTAATGTGTTTTATCTAATTATAGAAATATAAGATCTCGATATGGTAAAGGATACGGAATGTTTTCTAGACGGTCACACTTGCATTAAAGAAGTGCTTCCAGAAGCTCTTCTAAGGCATGAAATTCTCCAATACTTAAAAAAAAGTTTCACATGAGTATCACCATGTATTTTATTTTATTAGAACATAAACTTAAATGCTGATATGACTGTTTTTATGAATATTAAAATATTGTAGATGACTGAAGTGTTTTGAAGTACCTAAGCTTTTATTTTAATTTAAATTCATTTAAATTATTTTCCATTAATTTGACTTTAAACCTGAATATAAATATACCAATAGTTCTAATTGCCATGTAGACATTGGCCGTTTACTAATTCAGACTTCCCTTCCCTTCAGTTATAATCAGTTGTTAAATATTTCTCAACATTTAGATTCTGATCAGTGATGTTTTTAATGTGCTACATAATCTATAGAAACTTCTTGTTTTCATTTATGTATTTATTTATCTATGGAGTTGGGGGTCTCACTCTGTCACCCAGACTGGAGTATAGTGGCACAATCATGGCTTACCGCAGTTTCGACCTCCTTGTGCTCAGGCAATCCTTCTGAAGACTCAGCCTCCCAAGTGGCTTGGACTACAGGTGTACACACCACCATACCCAGTTAATTTTTTTATATTTTGTAGAGACAAGGTTTTGCCTTATTGCCTAGGCTGGTCTCGAACTCCCAGGCTCAAGTAATCCTCTTGCCTCAGCCTCCCTAGTATTGGGGTTACAGGCATGAGCCACTGAGCCTGGCTACTTCCTGTTTTTAGATACTGAAATTGGGCTTTATGAAAGGGTACCCAAGACCATGTTCTGAATCTTGTCTGGCTATTTTCCTTTCGTGTTTAGATATTACCAGTTAGACGTGTACTGTTCCAGGCATTGTCTGTGCACTTTCTGCTGTCTTCTCATTGACGGGTCACAGTCAGTCTCTGAGACCAGTGACCCGGAAACAGACCAGTGACCACTGAGCCCAGTGACCCGGAAACAGAGACATACAGGAGTTACGTGATTCTCCCAGAGCTCACAGCTGCTGAACTGTGGGGCAAGACTTGGCCCCGAGCAGTCTTATCTGTAGAGCTTGTACATACTTTCACCACTTGCTGTATGGAATGAGCAGAGGCTGACCTGTAGATGTGAAGTCCAGGGCTTGACTAAGCAGCTGCAAGGTGAGGGTCCTGAATCTGTTCTGGGAAAGCAATCCCCTGAGCTGGATGGGCATCTCTGGCCATGTGGGGGGCTGGCCTCCCATTGTGCTTGCGCCTGTCCCCTGCACACTTGCGGGACTCAGTTTCACTGGATTAAAGAAGGTGGCATGTCTTTATATTGATATATTGGGTTACAGCTTTTTATTTCTTCTGCTGGTGACTATGCAGGTCATCCCTAGAGAACTGACCCGCATTCAACTCCTTAAACCCCACCCTCTGCACAGTTAGCATTTAGTCCAGGATAATTCTGAATTACTTCTCATTCCCCTGAATGTTCCCTGTACCTCTCCCCTTGGGCCTTCTGCCTCAGCTTTCTGTCTCCAGAGCTCTGTGTGGTTGGTTCTTCTTTGTCATTCAAATCTCTGACTGAATGTCACCTTGCTTTAGTCCACACAGGCTGTTGTTATGAGCAGCCTACACAGTAGACACTCATTTCCCACCGCCCTGGAGGCTGGAGTCCATGGTGCAGGCACTGGCAATTGCAGTTTCAGGGAGGCTGTGTCCTGCTTCATAGCTGCCATCTTCCAACTGTATTCTTACCTGATGGGAGATCTGCAAGGGCACACTCTGGGGTCACTTTCATAAGGGTGCTGATCCCACCATGGGACCTCACCTTCTGCAAAGGGCTCACCTACTCACCCCACCACTTCGGGGTTAGGATTTCAATGTATAAATCTAGGGGGCCACAGATAGCCCACTGCGTCACCTCTTCAGCAAGGCCTTCCCTTTCCCACATCAGCATCACCATACTCCCTCCAGAATTATGCTACCTTAGGATGTGGCCCTCATTATTCTGGTTGTCTTGTTTATTTCTCTGCTCCATGTGTTTGCTGCTGTCCCTCTTTTGAGATCTGCGTCCCATGGGATCAGAGATCGTGTGTGTCTTGGAGGCTATAGACTCTGCAGTTATGCCTAGAACTGTTCCTGGCAGACATGTAAAAAGATGACAGAAGAGTATGTTTTGAATGAATGATACTGGGTGAGGTGGGTGGGAGAACCAGGGTCCAGCTGGACAGGAGCACTCAGCAAGGCACAGCACATCTGGCAGGAGTCCAGGGCCCAGGGCACAGGGAAAAGAGGGGTGGGGAGCTGGGGAGAGGAAACCGGTTGCTCATGGGAGAACTGGGCCATTGGCCAGGGATGTCTGCAGGTGGCTCACAGGGAGAGAGGCACTGGGTGGTGCTGAACATGCCAGAAGGTACCCCAGCCTGCAACCAGTGGACCACTCACTTTCATGACCCATCTCCACGCCTGGTGTCATGGACACATAAAAGTGCAAAGTGGGGGCCATGGGGACACATGCACAACTCGTCCTATGAGCATGCACAACTCATCCTGGATCTGGCCTTGCCTTGGGCAGGCCAAGAGGAGAGGAGGCTGGAAGAAGCTGTGAGGCAGCCCCTTGTTCAAATCCAGCCACAGCCTGTTATACCTGCCTCACCTGTGTTCAAAATGCAGATCATGCCAACATTTAAATTCAGAGGATTTACATCAGTTTCAGGTTTTCTGCATTGTTTTCATGATTGGGAAGGTCTGGACCCTGAACCTGCTCCCACATGGCACCATCTCTGGAGAATAGAAGGTATGGCCTTGGTGGCCCTAGCTCCTACAACCTGCCACCTGCCGGTGTATTGAATCTGCCTGACTGCCATGGGTGTCTGAGTTTGCAGCATCTGCATAGGGTCAGTCCACCATGTAAACAATCAAGGGCTGGGCACAGTGGCTCATGCCTGTAATTCCAGCACCTTGGGAGGCCGAGGCAAGAGGAGCGCTTGAGCTCAGGAGTTTTAGAGCAGCCTGGACAACATAGCAAGACTTCATCTCTATAAAAATATTTAAAAATTAGCTGGGCATGGTGCATACACCTGTAGTCCCAGCTACTTGGGATGCTGAGGTGGGAGAACTGCCTGAGTCTAGGAGATTGAGGCTGCAGTGAGCCACAGTCATGCCACTGCAGTGCAGCCTGGGTCATACAGAGACCCCAACTCAAAAACAAACAAAAAACCAATATATGTATCATCAGTCTTTTTGGGTTAGTAGAACTTGGACAGATTCCTGACTTCCTAGAAACCCTCCAGGGTTCCTGTTGCTTGCCGAGTGATGCCACTTCCCTAACCTGGGAGCAGTTTCACCCGGACCTTCTATCCAGTTACTCCCTTATAAAGTGAATGGGATTGCATTATTTGGGCTTTTAACTAGTGAAATGGCCCTGTGGGCTTAGGAGAGACAGAAGAGAGATAGGCAGAGAAAAACCTTGAGAGACAGCTGAAAGTGGAACAATTGTACCAGGAGAGGCTACCCCCACCTCCACCCAGAGCATGTGCCCACTGGCACTGGCACAGTTAGGCATGAAACAACATGTTGACAAATGCTTGTGAAGAAACATACAGTCTGACTCCCTGACTATGGGTGGAGGTAAGTAGGCTGCATCAATCTGGGGTCCAGGTCCTGGGCTTCGTGAGCATACTGAAGGTAAAACTAACGAGCAATTAGAGGCCAAAGAGAAGCTGGCCAGCAGAGAGGACACCAGCCAGACACATCTGCACTTGGTACCATGTAAACCAAGCCGTGTGGCCCACTGTGCCCCAGTCACGACTTCACAGTGAACGGTCCTTCTCAGCAACTTCGTCTCCTGCTTGAGTTATAAATTTTATTTCAAGGTGGGAAATAAATCTGTGTATTAATTCAGTAACTTGAAATTTAAAACGAAAATTTAATTTAAAGGAGTAAACCAGATTGTTGCTTTTGACTTTGTGAAGCCATGCCCACGTGTCCTGACCAGCTCTGATTCCCACAGGAGCATCCGATCCTGGGGCAACCCTTTTTCGTCCTCCATCCCTGCAAGACGAGCGAATTCATGACGCCAGTGGTACGGAATTCTCGGAAAATCAATAGGTAAGAAAGGCCATCAAGATGCATGGGCTCTGCTCTGATTTTAGAAGTGTAAATCTTCTTATGTGACTCTAAAAGCTAGGCTGAGAAAGAAATATTCTTTGTAATAATAATAACGGCTAACACCTATTGATTTTTGCTGCACGCATGGTGCTAGTTTTAGAGTTTCAGATATATTAGCACATTGGATTTCTGTAACATTCCTGTGTGCTAAGCACCATTATCTCATGCAGTTTAAAGCACAGAGAGTGATATGACCCAACCAAGATTACACAGCTGGTTAGGTGGTAGAACTGGCATTCAATTCCCAGCTTTTCTGCCTCAGAACTATGTTCTTTCTCCCTGCTCTCTTCTGCCTCAGTAAATGCTGCAAATTTAAGTGTAGAATTGGACTCATCCAGCAGGAGCCCAGTGCCTTCCCATGGCCTCCACTGCCTCCATGGGGACTCTCACAACTCTCTGGACCTCAATTCCTGTTGCACAATAGGGCTGGCACTTGGGGATGCAGGGCTGCAGGGTCAGGCACCCACCTTTGAAAATACCTCATTCTTGTGATCGGGTGATGGTGGAGGCCCTGACATGGAATGTGATATGGCCTGTCTCCCTTGCTTCCAGGAGTATCAACTACATCACGTCATGGCTGAGCGCCGTGGGGCCCGTGGTTGGGCTGCATCTGCCTCTGAGTTATGCCAGAGCCACCTCCCAGGATGAATGAATGCCAGCTGACGAGGTAACAGGGAGAGCCTGGATTTTGTGTTCTGTGCCTCAGAGACCTGGGGTGTCTGCCAGGTGGTCCTCATGGGTCCAACCAGGGTTGAATCTGCCTGCGTAACCTCATGAGCTGAACCCTGGCTTGTCTCTAGTTTCCCAGCCAGTGCCACCAGCCATCAGGTAGTGTCATGCTCTGCTGAGTAGCACCCACCTGGTCACAAGACAGGTGGCTTTATTTTAATATTGATATTCTTAAATGTGTTTTCCTGTCGGCTAAACTTCTGTCACTCTCCTGGCTTTTGTTTTATCTCGTTCTTCAGATTCTTCCATGGGGCTTAGATGCCACAGCGTGAGGACTCCAGGAGTTCCCTGGGCAGCCATGGTCTCAAGGACCAACGCCAGGTAGTGCTGCATCTCACCAGACTTGATGTGGACTCGCTTTTCCTCAGAAGCAACCATCTGCAGCAACTCATATTTGATATACTCAATGCTTAGAAGAAACACTTCAAAGACACAAATCACTATAAACAGCAAAAGATAAACCTGACTCAGTAATATGAGAATCTTAGGACACTTGTAGGCCATCCTTCTTCTGAGACGAAGGTTGATAGTGAGATGTATAAGGGGGAACCCCCAAACAATTGGAATTATCTTTTGGAGGAGGAACTCCTTGTAGTATAGGCTTCCCCCACTAGGTGAGTGTTCTAGGAATCCATCAGCATCAGTGTACCAGCTAGTGATGTTGTGAGAGGCTGGGTTTGGCTTTAATGAATTTTTTGTTTGTTTGTTTTTGAGATTCTTTCAATGCATTTGCCCATTTCATGATGGGCCATTTATGAGCATACCTGTCCACACTGCACTGAGTGTTCAGCAGTTTTTGACCAAAAATCCTGACCCCTGTCCCCCACGTTCCCTATTCACCTGATCTCATCCTGAGCGACTTTTTTGTTTTCCCAAATAAAAAAAAGTCTTTAAAGGGAAACATTTTGCCAATGTGGAAGAGGTGAAACAAAAAACGGTGGAAGCACTAAAAGGCATCAAAATTGACAAGTTCGAAAACTGTTTTGAGCAGTGGAAAAAGCATTTCAATATGTGTATTGCATCAAACGGAGAGTACTTTGAAGGTGACTGAAGTTTAATCTTGTAAGAATAAATATGTAATTATTTTGGGGGGAGGGGGTTGGAGTCTCACTCCTTCGCCCAGTCTAGAGTGCAGTAGCATGCACACTCACGGCTACTCCAGCGTCGACCTTCTGGGCTCCAGCGATCCTTCCACCTCAGCCTTCCGAGTAGCCGGAACTACAAACCCGTGCTACCATGCCTGGCTATTTTTATTTTATTGTAGAGATGAGGTCTCACCAAGTTTCCCGGGCTGGTCTTGAACCCGTGGGCTCAGGCAATCCACTCGCCTCGGCCTCCCAAAGTGCTGGGATTATAGGCTGAGCCACCGAGCCCAGCCAATACATAATTTTTAATAAATAAAATTTCTGAGTTTTGGGGGTCTCCCCCTTGTATTTGTGTGTTCACCATAATGTAAGATGTATGAAAATTAAATTAAGGATGGACATGTCCCTGAATTCAGGTTATCAACTGACCTGGCTTAAATTGTTCTTCCACAATCAAACTCAGGAATAGTAGATTATTTCTGGTTTACTCCCAAAGTATGTGTGATAGATACAGAATACATTAAAAAATCCAATAAATGTATTATTATAAGTGAGATAATATGTTTTACTAGCAAAGCGTGGCATAGTAAGTAGAAGTTTTTTAAAAACTACAGGAAATATTTAAACGTTAAACATTCCTCTTGCCTCTAGTAATAAAAGATGGTGATTCTGTCAAGCACCTGCTCGGCTCCACCATCTGAGGGGTCTTGTGCACGTCTTCAGGTCCCAGGAATGGATTTTCTTTGACTTTAACTTGAGACTAACAAGCTACCTCGGAGCTGCTGTGAGCAGCACACAGTCGCTAACACATGAGAAGACATTGTAAAGTATTCCACAAATACCCATTCAGTGCTCACCTTTCTTGTGCATCATCATTAGACACTCTATCTGTGAGTAAAGTTTAATAACCAGGCAAGTGTCAAGATGAGCCTAACCGGGAAGAACTTTCTGTTTTGGTTGCCTGTTTTGTTTCCTGTTTCCATTTGCGTAGGGCTGAAACTAAGATGAAAATCCAATTGGCTCTGTAGAGAATCTGGATTAGTGTATTTCATGAGGGATGTCCTTAGAGTCACCCGAGGTCCTTTCACCAGCAGATCCTTGCGCCTGTAGGCATGGCCCCACCCACCCTGCAATGGGGGCTTTTCCTCCTGGTTTCCCCAGCTTAGGTAACAACGCATGAACCTCCCAGCAGAAATCAAGCCAGTTAGTATAGATAGAACAATAGACACTGGGGGACTCCTAAAAGGAAAAGGGAGGGTAAGGAGAAAGGCTGAACACCCATCCACTGGTACCACACACACCACCTAAAGAATGGGCTCAATAGAAGCCCAGACCTCACCATCAGGCAACACACTCACATAACACAGCTGCCCATGTCTCCCCAAATCTAAAGTGAAATCAATAAAATGGAAAAAGAAATAAGATCTATTAAAGCTGCCACCCTCTCACTCCTTACATTCTGCCTCTGTGTGACCTTGGAAAATTGCTGTACTTCTTTGGTCCTCAGTTTCTCCATCTGTGAGATGGGTACATCTAGCTGTTTGGGTTTTCTGGGGCACCCAGAATCCCTGGGTTCATGAGGCAGGGCGAAGCCCAGAGATCTGGACTGGAGTCTGTATGCCAGCCTGCAATGTGGGCCGGGCCTTCTTAATTCCCTTTCTAAGTGATTTCCATAAAACAGAGCCCACAGTGTCTGTACCCTCACCTGACATGAGCATGGAGATCAGCTGCTGCGTACACTGACTGTACTTCACAACCCGCAGGACAGACGCAATGGCCCCAACCCTGCTACCTCACAGCACCAAGCCCCCCAGGGCCAGTCGGCTCTCCACATTCTCATTTGACCACAGCTCAGCTGTCCCTTCCTGGAGACACATCCTGCCCATTCCAACGTCCCCTCCTTTCCCAGTTGGTCTCCATGACACCCTCCCACTCCCCATAAAGTGACAAAGTGAGCCTCCCCCAGATGCAAAGGGAAGTTGGAGAGAAAGGCCAAGACTGGGCTCAGGGGCTTTAGTCACGTTCTCCAGACTTCAGGACACAGCTCGGCAGTGGCAAGGCCAGCTTCTGAGTGACCAGAGGGCTGACATTTCATGGAGGGTCTTCAGGATGGGAATTTGAGAGTGAGAATATGAGAATGTCACTTCAGCAAATGTTTCTCTAGCTCCTCTTTGTGAGAGCCCCAGGCCAGGTGCTGTGGACTGAAATGGGAAGGCCTGTCCCTGTGAGAAGGCAGCCCATGGGACACAGCTCAGGGACAGCAGCACGCATGTGTGCCCAGGACAGCATTGCGGAAGAAGCATGTGGGTACATCTCGAAGTCTTCATGCCATAGCTTGGCCAAGAGCTGAAGAGGCACCTCAAAGGGGCTGTGGAGGGTGCAAGGCCACACTGCTGGCTGGCAGGACTGGCTGGGCCAGCCTTCACAATCACACTGAGGTCTTGTATTGAGCCTGAAAACCACAAACACGACTGAGGGCATGGTAATAGAGAAGATAAAGTGAGAGTATCTGCATTTTAGAAAGTGCCTTTGTCTTTAAAATGACTGTGCATATGACCAACTACACACACTTTATCAGGTTTTGTTGTTTGTTTGTTTTAACCAGAATATACTAGCCACAGGATTTAGAAGGCAGAGGAGAGCAGGAGGGCCTGGGAGTGGTGCTTAGGACATTTTCCAATTTTTGCCTAGGACCTTCCACAACAAAACCTGCCAGTGGTCTGAAAAACCTTGAGTCCTGGCTGCTGTGTTAACCTGTGGCAAGTCGCTGTATTTCTCTGAGCCTCTGTCTTCCGATGTGTTAACATAAGAAGTATGTTAGAGCAAGTAAAATCAATGTATTGGTTTATAAGCAGTATTTTTTTAATGATGTGCAATACATACAAAAGAAAATATCAGTGTGCATTGCACATAGTGAGAACATTATTGTTTTGTGACACTTTGGCTTCAACTGTACATGTTTATGAAATCCGTGCGTGTGTGTGCACTCTGGGCTGTGATGTAAACTGCATTTCTAACTCCAGGGACCAGACAGAGATCTTAAGCCTCATGGAGAATAAACTGCCTTCCAGTTCTAAGGCCTCCAATCACCTCCTTAGCTGCTGACCAGTGAGGTGCTGAAGGCTGTTCTAGAAGGATAAGGAGGTACTTAACTATTATTGCGTCCGCAGCACTGGCCTACTTTCAAGTGGATATGAGTCTCTAAGGCTGCGCCTCTGGATTTTTATGGGGCTTATCTAGAAAATGTTTTCACATTTTTATTCTTAAATGTGGTCATGCTCATTAAGACCATCCTATGACGCCTAGCCCTTGCTTTAACGTTTGTGCTGTCCGCAGCGACATCTAGTGGTTTCCATGCAAATGTTCTGTATTCTAGACACAGAGAAGAAAGTGACTTTAGAGGTCACCAAGTCTCATTTTCTAAATTGTTAACCACAAGCTGAAAACGCACACGTATTCCTACATTCAAATCATCTCTACACAGTAGTAAATAAATCCAATATCTGTGAGATGCTTTCTTGTATCTCTTTGAAGCTTTCAAATACCCAGAAGTCACTGTTAGTTATGACCACAGGGCAGAAACCAAACAAAGTACACCCTGATGAGGGAGCAGTGAGCAGCCCCTGATGCACCGCCCCTGATGCACTGATGCTTACAGGTCCTGCCGGGGCTTCAGGCTCTTGCCTGGTACCCGGTGTTGGGTGGCACTCGATAAATCTTCGTTGAATGTCAGCATATATGGGTGACCACTGAGCCCAGAAGAAGAATCCCAGAGGAAGTGGGACTTGAAGGACAGGGAGGAGTCTGACAAGAGACTAGAGGGTTAAGCACTTAAGGAGGGAGCCACTGGAGGCCAGGAAGTGAGCCATGACTAGGAGGACCCAACTGGGTACCTTTGATGGTTTTAGCACAGAGTGGTTTTTGGAGAACTCATTTGGCAGTGGTATATGGGATGGACTAGAAGGAAGATAAACTGGGCAGAGGACAAGAGGTGAATGTAGCAGTGAGGAGATGAGATTTCAAGTGAGGATGGTGACAGAGCAAAGAGAAAGGGACTGATGTAGAGACATGTGGAGAACCGCACCGGGTGTAGAGATAATGAGAGACACTTGTCATGACTTGGCCGTGGCTTGGGTACTAGACTAAAAGCCCCGCACAGTCCCAGCCCGGCTCCCTGGTCACCTTTCTGCAAGTGCCAGGACTGAACTTTCTTTCCTCTTCTGGGAAGTGCCACCACCCTAGCCTTGGAGAAGATTTATTTCTCCCAACACCAGCAGCAGAGTGAGATGTGCTCTGCTCAGCCCTGTCCTTCAGTAAGTTTAAAGGAAGTACACTCAGGCCCTCTCCTGCTTATCTATAGGCAAAGGACTAAATAGGTTGCTGTACTGATTGTAGTTAAGAGAATAAGTTCAATCTTCGTGTATGAAAATGGACAGTTCTCATGAACAGACTGCTGAGTTAAAAAACAAAAACTAGATGCTAACTACTTGCTGTGGTTTGAATGTGTCCATCAAAAGCATGTGCTGGAAACTTCACCATCATGAA